TTTTTGTTGTAGTTGAGATGGAAACTTACCTTTTTCTTGAAAACTAAGAGCATATGTGAATTTTGCAAAAGCATCTTTAAAATCTGTTATGCTTTGAGCGATTTGAGTGTTGATTATCTTTGGCTTTTCAATGAATGCATGCAATATTTCCTCAAAATTTCTTTTAGAAGGTGGAGCATAAGGAGGTGCATATCCATGAGAATTTTGAAAATTATGGTGTGCTTGAAACGGTGGTTGTGAAGTTTGTGCATTATTGTTAACACTCTTCCAACTGAAATTTGGGTGATTTCTCCAACTAGGGTTATATGTTTGCGAATATAGGTTATGATTGAGCTTTTTCATTATTCTCATTATGAAGAGACTGTTATCTTCTTCAACTATATTTTTTGAAAATGATGAGGATACCCTACAAAGTCTATCACTTAATGTACGTGACCACACTCTCATGCACGTGTAGGAATACAATGAAAGGAAGAAGAAAACAAAAGAAAGAGAAACAAAAGAAAAGAAACAAAGTTAGGTACAAAAAAAAGTAAAAAGAGAAAATTAAATAAATACTATAATTTGTACAAAAATTTACCTCCTCGGCAACTACGCCAAAAACATGACATGACTAAAAAATTGATGTCTTCTCCCAAATGCAGGAGTGTCAAAATAATAAATAACCTGGCAAGAACGGGGTCGAACCACATGGAGGTTAATTGTATAAATTATAAATAACAGCAATACAACAACAACAACAACAACAACAACAACAACAATAGTAATAGTAATAATAATAATAATAATAACAATAGAAAAAGAAGAAGAAGTTGATGAGAACTCTGAGATGGAAGATCAATGTAAGGATTAAACAATGATAACAACAAATGTCAAGGTTATAGGATCTAGCAATGGTATTTCAAACAAATATAGTATAAACTTTTATTACTCAAATGGAAACCATACACAAAGAAGATTCTAATCAGATTATAAATTGTTAACATGATTATATTAATAATGCTAATATTTGTAAATATTGTCAAGTATTCATGATTATAACTTATGTTAACAACAAATCAAGTTCCTTTCATAGCATAGATGTCGGTTATACCATACAGTTTGTGCCATGAAAGTGCCAAGCATTTGTTATGCCAAGTGTTATACAACATAAATCTAGATTAGTTATTTAACAAGCAAAGTATTAAAAAGTGAATAAGATAACAAATACAAAACATGTTAGTATCAAACATTAAAGTCCATATTAAGTTTACACCATACTTAATTTTATACCATTAGTGTAACCTTTTCACCTTGACATAATAAAATTAGCTAAACATAATGAAAGAGAGAAACATAAATAAACAAGATAAGAACATAAATAAAATAAAAGTTAACTAAATAAAGAAAAAAAAATGAAAGGCATAAACAAGATATTAATAAAAGCAAAACTTAAGCATTATAAAAATACAAAAAGAGAAAACAAGAGCATGATCTTGTTCTGGAAACCAAGATTCCTAAATGCATGGCAAATGCCTCCTTTTATAGGCCAAAATTGAGAACTATTGATTTGATGACTAATTGTTGAGTGAGTGACTAATTCTTGATTTGGTGATAATTTTTATCTTCTTGTCTACCCAAAACGTCATTGATAACGTCAGAATTTGAACTAGACCTCCACATAAAAGTTCTAGGAAATTGTCTTAAACTTCTAGAAAAAAAAAATTGAGGTCATTTAGACTCCTAGAATTCTAGATATGGGATGAACACTGAATAGTGTTTGGGCTATGGGACATATTCAGACTTCTTTGTTGTAGCTATAATTTGGACTTGAAAACGACCTTTTTAAAATAGACTTCTATATGAAAGTTGTAGGCCTGTATCTTACCTTTTCATTCATATAAATTAGACTTAAATCCGAGATCTACAGCTCCAGATATGACCCAATTACTAAACAGTGTTTTAGTTTGAACTACACCAGCATCTCTTTTCTAAGTTTGGTCATCTATTTGTCCTCTCAATTTCTCATCAATCAATCATTTCATCTATGTGACAGACCTGCATTTAAGATGAATATTTACCATAAATTCAAGGTATCTTATATTATTAGATATATTATTATAAAGCATGCATTATAAAACACAAATTAAAGGTATCTTTTCTAAGTTCGGTTATCTCTTTGTCCTCTCAATTTCTCATCAATCAATCCTTTTATTTATGTGATAGACTTGCATTTAAGATGAATATTTACCACAAATTTAAGGTATCTTATATTATTAAATATATTATTATAAAGCATGCTTTAATTAAGGAGTTAATGATACTTCAAATGCAAAATGATGATATAAAACCTTGATAAAAATACACTTTTAAGTAATAATCATTCTTTAAATATTTTAGGTAAAAAAACTAATTATGTTAAAGAAAAGTTAAAGATTATGCTAAAATACTTTAAATAAAATAAGTTTTTTCGTGTTTGTTTTTAATAATAAAATATTTAATTGTGTGTACATTCTAAATTTTTTTATCTAAATTAATATATGTGTATATTATTCAAAATAAAATAAAAACTATCAAAACCTAATGCATTAATTTAGGATCCATGTCTAACTACATTATCTAATTTTTAATTTTGGAATATCGGTGTTGGATCCAAATAAATAATAATGATTAATACATTTGTAAATAGACTTATATCAACAGAAAAAATCTTATAATAAAAAATTATCATTTATTTTTTTGTGTTTAAAAAATTAAAAAGCCGTGTATTAATAATTTATATTATCTATTTTTTAATATTCTTAAATAATGATTAAATGCTTCATTTATTCGAGGTTGGTTTTATGGATAACAAAAAAATTATTACACTACAAAATTGTGGAAAACAAAAGAAAGATGTCATAATTTATTTTTATTTATAGGTTTTTCATGTATTTTTAAAGATAACGTTTTTCCTGAAAAATGTATGTTTCAGTGAAGTTTAATCAATATACATTATTTTTTGGATTGTTGTTACTTTGTTTGCGCAATAAGATAGGTAAATACAAATAATAGAAAGAGAATGTGAATAATTTAGGGAGCCAAATTGGAGTCAAGTATGAAAAGGGATCTAAATGATTAAGGACTAAAAAATAGTGCAAAAAAAATATGAAAAATAGATAAGAAATTAAACAAAATTGGAAAATTATAGGAAAGGTATCAACAAATAAAATTAATTGATTAAAAATCAGCAAATCAATAAGGAAACAATATAAAATTCCCTAGCAATATTTGTTTTCCAGTTTAGTGTTTCCTATTTTTGGAGGATCTAAACAATATAAATAGTGGGAAGCTCTAGATAGATATATCAAGGGCCGTTTGGCTAAAAGCTAATTTAAAAAAAAAAAACTAATTTATTTAAAATTAATTTTTTAAATGTTTTGAGATTGTTTTGATGCATTAATATTAAAAATAAATTTTAAAAATATAATAATAAAAAATATTATTTTAATATATTTCTGAGTAAAAAAAACCTTGAAATGCAAGAATGTATATATAAGAAATATTATAGGCACTATTCTAATGTTGTAATCTCTATCTTTATTATTATATGTTGTTCTACACATATAAATAGAAAATAATTGACTAACTGAAGGTCAAGCCTCCTCCTTTTTCTCATAAAGGAAAAAAATATAATTTGTATTCATTTCAATAACTTTAATTAATATTTTAAGTAAATCATTAACTATAAATATTTATAAACAATATTTTAATGTAATAAAATATTAATTATAATTATAATAACTTTATAATTTTTTAAAATTATTTTTATCATGAAAAAGTACCGTAAAGGTAACTTATAGTGGACAGTTGGATGGAGTATAAAAAATAAAGAGTTTCTAGATAAACTTATTTTTTCTTGTTGTTGTCTCACATCGTTGTATCCGTCAATCAACACGAGAGCCCAACTTTAAGGTTTCATTTGTTTTATAGAAAGTAATTTTTTAAAAAATACTTTTTAAATTTTCTTGTATTTGTTTACCATTAAAAAAATTGGTCAACAGAAAATATTTTCCAGTCAAAGAAAATTTTGGTTTGGTTTTCAGGAAAGTATTTTTATTTTATTTTGGGTGGAAAATACTTTTCAGAAGTTGTGAAAAATTTAGAAATATCATATTCTTTATTGATTATATAAAATTTAGTTATCAAACTTTTCATTGCTATATATTTTGTTTTGAATCTTTTTTTTTTCAATTTTATCCATTAGAATTTGATTTAATTTGATTTTATATCAACTTTGATCCTCATTTTTATGATTGTTATTTACTTTTCTTTTATTATTTTTCTAATTAAAATTTTTTATCTATCAATTTTGATCCTAATTCTTTTGATTATTCCTTATTCTATTTGAAATAGTTTATGAAATTATAATTATTATTATTTTAATTTTATTATCTTTTAGTTTTTTTATCTGTTAAATTTAATCTCCATTATTATGATTGTTATTTATTTTATTTGAGATAATTTATGAAATTAGAATTTTTTTCAATTTCATTATTATTTAACTTTTTAATTTGTAAGATTTGTTTCTTATTATTTTAATAAACTTAAAAAAAATATTAATAAGTTATTTTTTGAGGTTATTTTTCATAATATAATTAAATATTAAAAAATATTTTTTAATTAAATTTTTATAATATTATTAAATATTAAAAAAAAATTTACTTTTTAAGAATTTATTTAAAAAAACTAATTTCATGGATCAGCAGAGAGAAGTACCAATCAGTCAAAACGAGAAGAACATCATGATAAGGATCAAGCTCAGCTATTACCAATCAGTCAAAAGGAGAAGAACATCATGATAAGGAGCAGGCTCAACTACTTTCCTTTTGTTCTTTTCTTGGCACAGAAATGGCTCATTTCGATCAATCTGAAAACTATTGGCTGCAGAGTTCTATTAAAGGAGCAAGAGCTGAAACCAAAAAAACATATCCCACTCTCAATCTCTCTCTCTCTCTCTCTCTCTCACTCTAGCTATCTCTATGGCATCACCGAACTCTGTAAAGATAATTGATATCTGCGAAGTGGCTGCCGCTTATGACTCTACCAAGTCAACAACCGAAACGATACTCTCTCCTACTTTTTTTGAACTGTCAGGTCTCAGATTTCCTCCATCTGAGTGCCTCTGCTTCTTCAAACTTACTGATTCAAACCCTACCTTCTTTCACTCTGTAATTTTCCCCATTCTCAAACAATCACTTTCCCATGCACTCCTCCACTTCCTTCCTATCGTCGGCAGCCTAACATGGCCCCCTGAATCCTCCAGACCCTTCTTTGTTTACCATCTTAATAACGATTCCGTTTCAGTTACACTTGCCGAGTGTAATGGTGATTTCGATCGCCTTATAGGCAATGGAATCCATGAAGCTGTTGAATCACATCCTTATGCTCCGCATTTCGTCGCAACTGAAACTAGGTCACCATTATTGGCTTTACAAGTAACATTATTTCCCAACAAAGGCTTTTGCATTGGTATGGAAACGCACCATGCAATATTTGACGGGAAAAGCGCATCTATGTTCCTCAGAGCCTGGGCTTATACATGCAAATATATTGTCGAAAAAGGTGAAGCCCCACGTTTATTGCCAGAAGAAATCACCCCAAGTTTTGAATGGAAAAGTATCCAAGATTCAAAAGGGTTGGAGGAGGCGTACATTAACTTGTGGGCGACCATAGGGAAACGGTTAGAATCAGGTTCAGACTCGAACCCAAGAAGTGTTGAGCCGTTGCCGAAACTTGAAGTGCAGCCTAACTTGCTACGAGCAAACTTTCATTTATCTAGTGAAGTCATTAAGAAGCTTAGAGAAAGTGTGTTGCGTTATCACCCGGAAGCAACAGACCCTACCAAACGACAAAATCTCTCCACTTATGTTCTGGCATGCTCTTATGTATCGATCTGTCTTGTCAAAGCAAGAGGAGGAGATGCCGACAGAGAGGTTTATTTTGCGTGGTCAGCGGATTGTAGAAGTCGTTTAGACCCTCCTCTTCCACCAAATCATTTTGGTAATACTGCTGTGGTTCATCACATAGTTTCTAAAGCCGGAGATTTTATGCAGGAAAATGGATTAGCTATTATAGCCGAGAAGCTTAGCGCTTCTATAAAGCGATTGGAGAAGGGACTCATTGAAGGTTCAAATGAGAGGCTTGAGATGTTGTTAAGTTTGGGACCAGAAGTGCAACTAATTAGTGTTGCTGGATCGACCGGATTGGAATTTTACAACACGGATTTTGGATGGGGGAATGTCGAGAAGGTGGAGCTCACATCCATAGATAGAACTGGATCGTTTTCAGTGTTGGATATTAGAAATGGAAGTGACCGAAGGACTGAAATTGGCGTTGCTTTGAAGAGGCCTGAAATGGAATCATTTGCTTCTTTTTTCTCTAATGGCCTAGAAGTTATATTCTGAAAAGAATTATTTTTTAAAATCTTTGTAAATAATTTATAGTGTGTTTTAGAACTTTATTTCTTGGCTTTTTTTTTTAATGGATTTCTATAAAAATTGTAAATCTTTATTTAAGTGAATACCTACATAATATCTCTTAGAGACATTTAGAAATGTTGACGGAAGATTTTTTGAAAATCAAGTCAGTATAATATATTTTTATATGGTAAAAAGATATTAATAAAGATATTGATAAGCTTTTATGAAGATAAAAAAAAAAAAAAAAAAAAAAGAAGAAAATATAGAAGTTAAGAAAGAAAAAAAAGAAATGTGTTTTTGTTTAAGAGCATAAAGTTTCAAAAAAATTTTATATGTACTTGACATGACCAAAAGATTGATGATGTCTTCATCGAAGTGCAAGAGTGTTGAATCCAAGTGCAAGAGTGTTGAAGTAATAAATAATCTGACAAGACTATGGTCGAACCACAAGGATATTAATTGTATAAATTATAAATAACAGCAATTCAATGACAATAACAACAAGAATAATAATAATTATTATTATTACTATTATTAATATTATTATTACTATTATTATTATTATTGTTGTTGTTTATAATTTAAACAATTAACCTCCCTATGGTTCGACCCCGGTCTTGTCGGGTTATTTATTACTTCGACACTTTTATACTTGGAAGAAGACATCAATCTTTTGGTCGTGTCAAGTTTTTTGCGCCGTTGCTGGGGAGGTAAATTCTTGTAGAAATTATAATATTTATTTTATTTTCTCTTTTCACGTTCCTTGTATATAACTTTGAATTTTTTCTTTTGTTTCTTCTTCTTTTGTTTTCTTCTTCCTTTTATTCTATTTTTACATGTATATAAAAGTATGGTCACGTACATTAAGTGGTAGACTTTGTAGGGTATCCTTATCATTTTCAGAAAATATAGCCGAAGAAGATAACTAGTAACTTCATAATGAGAATAATGAGAATAACCGTGTTAAAACACTTAGAAATCACATGATTCCCACAAGAACAAGTGTACCATCATGCATAGTTTTCCCTTCTAATGCATCTCATTTTAATTTTAAGCCAAATATTATTCAACTTTTACCTTCTTTTCATGGCTTAGATTTAGAAAATTCATACTTGCATTTAAGGAAATTTGAGGAGGTCTGCAACACGTATAATGACTCAAATTGTAGCATGAACACCATCATATTAAAGCCTTTTTCTTTTTCATTAAAAGATAAAGCTAAAACATGGCTATAAAATTTAAGACCAGAATCTATTCGTGTTTGGGATGAAATGCAACAACAGTTTTTAAAGAAGTTTTTTTCATTTCACAGAACAAACTCTTTCAAAAGACAAATCATCACTTTCACTCAAAAACCAAGAGAAACATTTTACCAATTTTGGGATAGGTATAGAGACTTGCTTAATACTTGCCCTCATCATGGTTT